ATTCATTCAGCATGTCTATCAACTGCCTACTATGTTGCTAGACAATTTTTTATGCAATTTTCTATGAACAAAACCAAGATCTCTTCCTTCATGGAGCTTATGGTCTATCAGTGGAGGGAGGAAACAACAGAGTTACATATTATGTCAGCAAGTGATAAGTCACGTGGGGAAATGAAAGAGTAGAGCAGGATGGAAGACATGAATACAGGGAAGGCATGGCAATTGCCACACTAAACATGGTGGTTAGAGTAGGCATAGTTAAGAGGTGACATTTGAGCAAAGAATTCAAAGAGGTGTGGAGTGAGCCACATGGACAGCTGAGAAAAGAGTTTTCCACATAGAGGAATGAGGCAGTGCAAAGGCCCTGAAGTATGCTTGCTGTACTCAAGATCAACAGCAAAAAGGCCAGTGTGGCTAAAACAGAGTGAAAGAGGACAGGAGTAAAATTTAAGTTAGAAAGGTACCTACAGGGTAGGATTGGGGTGAGGGGCAGTCTTGGTGCTGAGAGCCAGATTGACCATTATAAGGAGGTAAGAAGCCACTGAATAGACACTGGAGCAGGGAAATAATTTTACGTGACTTGTTTTCAAAACGAGCATCCTCGCTGCTGGCTGAGAAATAGGTGGTATATAATATCTTCACCTTGACTTCTATATACTTTTCTTCCCTCTGAACAAGCGTACTTAATTTTTTTCCCTTTTTCTATATAACATCCCTACTTTCTCTCCTTAAAAAACACACCAGAAAGTAAAATTTGTGGTTTCTGTCATATTTCAAGCTACTTCTTCTTTTAGTTATCTCCTTTTCACTACTGTTTTAGACTATATTTGCATTTAAGCACCTAAGGGATTTAACTATATGCATGTTACCTCAAAAATAACAACGATAGTAGGTGCTGTGCATAGACACATACACACGCATCATTAAGTGAGATGCCTGCTTTAAGTAGTTTACATATATTAATTATTTACACTTAATTAATCCTTACATAACCTTATGAGATAGGTACTACTAATTACTAACATTTAAAAGCAGAGAAAACTGAGGCACAGAGAAGTTGAGTGACTTGTCCAAGACCACAAAGCTGATATAAATCAGAGCCAGAATTCAAGCTAAGCATTTTGGGTTCAGATTATGTACTCTTAATTGCTTCAAATCCTACCATCATTATTTGAAAATTAATATTGTTAGGATTGCCAATAACTAAAGTTTCCTATGATTTTCTTAAAGCATTTCAAAGATAAATTGAAAAATTAAGCCAACAGGAAATTTTAGATTTTAAAACATGAGAATTTTCATCAAGAAGCTGTTAAAATCAACCACCAATAATTTTACATATGGTAATTCCAAACTCATAAAGAAAGAAAAGATCATTAGTTGTATAAATATTTGTGAAGAGCATAAACACTATTTCAAAATCTGAAGGATGTCCTTTTAAATTTGTTAAAATAAGCATAATAATCATCAAAGGACAGGTGGTATATTGAGGCTGAGAAGTCATTTCCATTGCACGTATGTTTCTTTAAAAATCTTTTGAAGTGAGACTTTTTCTGCATAGTCTTGGCCAAAAGGTGATTTCTTGGAATGCTCATGTTAATTCACTTCAGCTATCCTGAAGTCTTACAAGGCAAAAAAAAAAAAAAAAAATTGCCTTTCCATAATCAAAATTTCATGATTTTTGTACTTGTAAACTCAAATCACAGGAAAAAAAACTCATAAAGTTCTACTCAGCAAGGCAAGTGAAGCTGCATTTTCTCAAAGTTCAATGTTATATAAACTGGGCAAGTAAATAGTGACTACTAAGAATCACATAGTAATGCATTATTTTAATTCTGAAAGATGACTGGAACAGAAGATACATTAATAAATTTTGCTGAGATCTAATTACTAATGATACCTGATCTTTCTATCATCCACTGCTATGCACGACTCCTGGAAAACACTTTGTGGCAATGCTGGTCAGGTTCTACCCTCCCGCCCACCCAGTTCACAGAACTTTAAGGAAAGCTAGATGCCTGCAGGGATATCTGGCACACTGTCACTTGTGCTGTAAGACTCTCTACAATACTAACTTGGTCAAATTCCCCACTTGGTCAGTTTGAAGACATAACAAGTGAATGAGTTTTATAGACAACTGAGAAGCAGTTGAATGAATGTAAAAAAGCCTGAGCTTCTGATATGAATAAATCTGCATTTGTATCCTGGGTCTAATATTGACTATGTGACTTTAGAAGAATAGAATATCCTCTTTTAAGCCTTTCTTCTTCTGCAAAACAGAGATTTGAAAAAAAATCCCAGCACCAAAAGGATTAAAGAGTTTGGGGAGTCTGGGATGTATATCAAATACAAAACAATGTGAGATTTTTCTCCTGGGTCTAATATTGACTATGTGACTTTAGAAGAATAGAATATCCTCTTTTAAGCCTTTCTTTCTTCTTCTGCAAAATAGAGATTTGAAAAAAAATCCCAGCACCAAAAGGATTAAAGAGTTTGGGGAGTCTGGGATGTATATCAAATACAAAACAATGTGAGATTTTTCTTTCCATACCAAGCCACACACTATCCAGTAAAAGATAACAGAGAAGACTTCCTGGCCCTCTGTCACATCTTGAGGCACCTTTACAGGCCCATTTCCAGGAAAGATCACTCTCCCAGACTCATAGTCTGCAATGGGTTTCAGAAAGTGGGATACAACACTTTCCAGGAGGAACCCTGAGGTATGAGGTTAAGGTGGACTGGATAAAATGAATGCCCTTAAACCTGTCCTCAAGGTCAGCTAGCATAAAGGACACTGCTTACCACTGAGAAAGGAAGAAAACAAGACTGGGACTCTCGACTTCTAGTAAAAGCACAAAAGGCTGCCATTATAGTCCTCAACATGGTCACCGTCAGTATAGAGTTTAGCAAAGGCAGCAACTGCATATTATATAGACTTTGTAATTATTTTGTGCTCATATTCCATTAATAATTTCAGTATACCACTTTGTGACAAGTCAAACTGTCATTGTTTTGACACATACCAATTTCCCTACTAAATGGGAAATTCCTTTATGGCAGGATGTATTGCTCTTCTTGAAAACTAGCCTAGTTCTCTGTGTTTGTGGAATTGCACACT